TGCCCTCTCTGCTCTTGGCTGTCTCATGTCTCCCCTCGCCAAGTGGCACCGCACTGACGTCAACCTCTCAGAGCGCTTCGAGCTCTTTGTCAACTGCCGTTAGGTCACTTGGCGGTGTAGATTATTTCTGTGTCGGGTTGTGTACCCTGGGCTGTCTGGTCCTCCCTCTCACCAAGTGGCACCGCCCTAACGTCAACCTCTCCGAACGCTTTGAGCTCTTCGTCAACTGCCATGAGGTGGATGCAGGTGGTGGGGTTGTGTGGGAGGGTGGTTGGGTTATCACTGTGTCAGTTTGTGTGCCCTGGTCTGTCTGATCTTGCCTCTCGCCAAGTAGGTGGCACTGCACTGACGTCAATCTCTCTCCAAGCGCGTTGAGCTCTTTGTCAATTGCTATGAGGTCAGTGAGGGTGGTGGGGTGGGGTGGTGTGGGTGGGTGGGTCACAATGTCGGGCTGTCTGCCCTGCCCTCTCTGTCCTGGGTTGTGTGGTCTTAGTGCTTGCCAAGTGGCGCCGCACTGACGCCAACCACTCCGAGTTGTCTGCCCTGTCCTGGGCTCCAATCGTTTCTTCAACTGTTATGATGCGGATTGATATGGTGGGTGGAACGCTGTTTTGGACCCTCTGCGCTGGCTTACTGCGCTGGGAGTCACTTTTGGGAATCCTCAAAAGGTTACTGCGCTGGGTTGTTGTGCTGGCTTGTGTTAACTTCCTTGTGTTGATGCCTTCTGCCCCTCACCTCACCTGCCTGCCTTGCAGGTGTGCAATGCGTACACGGAGCTGAACGACCCAATCAGGCAGCGCCAGCTGTTCGCCAATCAGGGCAAGGACCGGGCGGCTGGCGATGATGAGGCCATGAAGGTGCGAGTGGGGCAGAGGCGGAGGAGGGTGGGGTGGTGGAAGGGGAAGGGTAGTGGGGGGGCAGAGCGGCAGAGGGGCAGAAGAGGAAGGGTAGTGGGGGGGCAGAGGGGAAGAGGGGCAGAAGGGGAAGGGTAGTGGGGGGGCAGAGGGGAAGAGGGGCAGAAGGGGAAGGGTAGTGGGGGGACAGAGCGGCAGAGGGGAAGAAGGGGAAGGGTAGTGGGTGGACAGAGGGGCAGAAGGGGAAGGGTAGTGGGGGGGCAGAGGGGCAGAAGGGGAAGGGTAGTGGGGGGCAGAGGGGCAGAAGGGGAAGGGTAGTGGGGGGGCAGAGGGGCAGAAGGGGAAGGGTAGTGGGGGGGCAGAGGGGCAGAAGGGCAGAAGGGGAAGGGTGGGAAGGGATGTGAGGAGGGCACAATAGGTGGCTGGTGATGATGAGGCCACGAAGGTGTGAATGGTGGAAGGGTCAGGAGTGAGGTGCTCAGGGGGGGGAAGGGGTAGAGGGGGGATGGGCAAAGGAGGAAGGGTGGGGGAGGGGGGTGGGGCGCGGAAGTGTGAGGCGAAGACACGGCTGGTGATGATGAGGCCGTGAAGGTGCGAGTGGGGGCGGCCATAGGGGAGGGGTATAGGGAGAAGGGTATGAGGGGGAGAGAAAGGAAACACAGGAGAAAAGTATTATTGCTGTTGCTGTCAAGCGACACTCACGTGCCCTCTTGTTAACCCCTAAGCCTCCCTCCCACGCTTGCCACTTCCCCTTGTCCTTACCTCCACTCGTTGCGCCCCTCTCCTCCTTCAACCTCCTCCACTCGAGCAGAAGGACGATGACTTCTGCACGGCACTCGAGTACGGCCTGCCGCCCACGGGAGGGTGGGGCATGGGTGTGGACCGACTGACCATGATTCTCACCGACTCTATCAACATCAAGGTGAGACACACATGGGGGGGTACAAGTGGTGGTTAGTATGGGAGGTTAAGGCACAGGAGGATGGGGCACAGGAGAGTGGGGCATGGGAGTGGACCGACTGACCATGATTCTCACCGACTCCATTAATATCAAGGTGAGATGTATGTGTGGGGTCGCACAGGATATGGTGCAAAGGCCATGGGTGCAGTACGTGTGTATGGAGTGGTTAGTATGGTGCGGCCATGGGAGTATGGGTCCGGGGAGGGTGGAGCATGTGTGTGCGTGGAGCAGCTGACCATGATTCTCACCGACTCTATCAACATCAAGGTGAGACATGGGCTTGATGCACAGGACATGGTGCACCAAACATGGTGCACCAAACATGGTGCACAAGACATGGTGCACAGGGCATCGGTGTGCGTACGAGATGGTGGTGAGAATGTTGACCTGAAGGGTGGTTGGGTTATGGATGCTCTGGTTGACTGCTTACCACGGATGAGCGATGGGAAGTTGGAAATCGACATATATACGCAGTTGGAGTGCGCTGGTGCTCATTGGTTATCCTTCCCTGGTTTGTGCTGTTTTTTATGTTCTGGCTCCACAGGAAGTGCTTCTGTTCCCGGCTATGAAGCCCAAGGCTGACCAACTCCCACCTGCCGCTGCTGCTGCTCCGGGTGCTGCACCTTCAGATGCAAATGCTTAATACTTAAGCTATCATTTTCCATTTAATAGTATTAGAAGACAAGGGTTTGTCAAATCCAGGTTTTAACCATGCCGTTTCAGGGTTGTGTAATGGAAAGAAACAGTTTTTGCTTGCACTTCATGATAAATGATGATTGCCTAACAGTGCCTGTTAACGAAGTGGCCAATGAGAATAATGCGACTTCGGGTGACAAAGCTGCGTGGTTAGGGAGCTTCACTTTTCACGCAAACCAGCGTCCATCGTCGTGATTGGTTGCATCTCTTTCCTGGCCCACTGGTCAGCTTCGTTTTCCACGTCACCCTGTCTGGCTCTTGCAGAAAGTGCTCGCCCCTGACAGTCGAACCGCCACACCATCACTGTCCCAGACCAGAGCGACCCCACCCCTACAGTTTGCATGTCCGCCCCACTGTCCAGTGCGGATTGGATTTTACATTCTGCGCCTCACCATCCAGCTTCAAGGTGACGCGTCAAATAGGTGTCAGAGCTGAGCTGTTCTCAGGAGAAATCCATTGGGGTTTTGAGTTGAGCACGCACTGTTACTGAACTTTCTTCGCTCCCAGTGTAGCTACAGTGCTTCTGGCGCATTGTTTAGTGCTCTGTTTTCGCTCACAACGCAGAGTTAGCTCCTTTCAACACACTTTTGATTTCATTGGTCCCCACATGGCACATAACTACAAACCGAACCTGTGGATACTGTCACAAAAAACAGTAACTACTTTGATTTGTTTTTAGTGCTAAACTTTTTATCTTCCCCCTTAAAAAAGGTATCGACCCTAAACACCTTCCGAATGGTGTTTAGGATTGATGCTTAATCGAGACCAGCCATCGAAAAAAATATACTCGTTTGGAAGGGCATCAATCCTAAACACCTTGTCTCCTGGTGTTTAGGGTTGATGTCTCCCTCGAAAAACATGCCACCCGATAGGATTTTATGTTTTTGTGCCCGAAATGCTTTCGTTTGACGGTTCTGTGGCCGCCAACCAAAGCAGAGTTATCGGCCCGTCAATTCTACGACCAATAAAAGCAAAACTGCGTTGAAAGGAGCTAATTCTGCGTTGTGAGCGAAAACTGGGAAGTAAAAGTGTGCCAGAAGCCTTGTAGATACGTGGGGAGAAAATATGATCAGTAACAGTGCGTGCGCAACTCAAAACCCATTCCATTGCTCCCAGACGCTTTTTATGGTGATTTTTGGGTCCTGCTGGAAGGGAATATAGCCCAGAAATATATGGGCAGGATGAGGCAGCCGCTGTTCGTCAGAACGCCGCCTCCACTACAGAGGGTGGAATAAGATTAACACTACATCACTTGCCAAGCTTTTTAGCATGTGTTTTCTGTGTTCCTCCATTTCGTTTCTTCATCCTCCAGTCGAACTACCCTCCCTATGTCACACTTTTGTATTTTCTACTCTTTCGGGGAAAAGGTTTCCTTTTCCTAAGCTTCCCCCTCCCCACCTCAAGCCAGACTACCCAACCACACCACCTTGCATCCCCTTTTCGACTCATTTTTCCAAACGAACCGTTTCAAATGGCTCTCTTGTTGCACAGTGTGTCTGCCTTGCAGGCTGTGGGGAATGCTGGTTGTTCCCTCAGCTGTTCAATGCATGGTGCTATGAATTCTAGGACCTCGCCTCCTTGACCACGTGCCTAATCAGAACTGCGGAATCTCCTGATTGCCTTGCCTCTGTTCCTCACTTCACTCAAGTCGTGGAAAAATGTCGCGTTCTCGCATAGACTCAATGGTTGTTGAGCTCACGTTCAGCGCAACTAACGCTGTTCAACGGCTAGCAATCTGCGACTTTCGCACCCGTCCAGTTGTCAGGAACTCACTGGTTCTAGTAAAATATATCTTCGTCTGGTGGTCAAACGCACAAGTACACGTAGCGCTTTCAAGACACCACAGTACTATCCCCTACGGATAGCGCTTTTCAGACACAAGCACATCCCATTCCATCCTTGTTCGTCCCCTTCAACAGTCACACGATCCTTCTCTCTCAGCAGTCTCAGACATCGCCGTGCAATTGAGAAACGATTCAGGAATAAGGGCGTGCGTAGTAACTAGAATTTCACGAGGACGGGATCTTCCATTTGGCGAGTTATTCGCGCGCTGACACGCGACTCGGGTCCGCGGAGAAATCAAGGCTATCAAGTATTCTCAATAGTCGTGCTCTCAAGTCCTGAAAATGCTTCTGTTGAGTAAATTTTCAGGGTCCAAGTCCAGGAGGCACGCTAGCGAGCGGAATGCGCGGACCGAGCGGAACGAAGAGAAAGAATGCGGCTCGGAGCTACCACCTGCACGTCAGCCCGCGGCGCGCGTCGTTGTCTTCGAGAGATGCGGCTCTCAAGAAGCATTGATGGCAGGTAGAGACGCGGAGAAACCGCGGGAGTTAGTGACTTCTGAACCTGCTGCGGACGGAGATTGCGGGGCTTGCGGAGGTTGCGGAGGCGGCGGAGGTTGTGGGGGTTGCGGGGTTCACGCAAAACCCTCTGACTACGATATTTCAAAGCTTGCGCCGGCGGGTTTCGCGCATCGCCTTTCGTTCTCGATGGACGAGGCAGCTCTGAGCGACGTCGCTCGGCGAGCGCGCGAATCGACTCGCGAATCGTCGTCGCGTCGTTTGCCGGACGCTTCGGCTCACCGCTCATCCTTCTCCTTCAACCCTCCCCCGCTGGTGGCCGGGGAGGAGGGAGATCCTGGAAGCAAAAACTGCGAGGCGGATTCAGCGGCGGGCGAGATCGGTCAAGACGATTCGGTGACAGCGCAGAAGCAGGAGAAGCAGGAAGAGGCGGAGAGGTGCCGGTGTGAGAAATGGATGGCCTTTCAGCAGTCAATCGCGGCAGCAGAGGAAGCTGACGTCAGTGACGACGCCGCCGAGTCCGATACCACTAGTACTAGTTTTAAGGCGCCCCATAACTCAGCAGCTGACGTCAGTGGCGCCGACGCCGCTAAGCTCGCAACTGTTAGCGGTAACGCCGCTACCGGTACAATCGGCGATAGCAGCGACTCCGGCGCTGCCGACTCCTTTGGCGACTGCTCCGCTGCGACTTGTTTTGGCAGGTTACAAGCTCCAGGTCCTAGCGCCGTCGCAGCGGGGGAGGCGGAGGCGCCGTCAGTTGCGCTGTCAGTTGCGCCGTCAGGTGCAGCAGCATCAGAGACGCTGTTTTCCCGGCGAATGAAATCCCAATCGCACCCAGCGCCGCGGGTAGTACCTGTATTAGGCGATACTACAACGGGGACGCGCAACTTCCCCTTCCCCCTGGCCCGGGGCCTAGAAAGCGCAGGCGCGATGCGGAGTTCCCCTCTGCGCAATTTCCCCGTTCCGCGCAGCTCGTCGCACACTGACAGGTTTCCGCCACCGCGAGCGGCGGTCACGGCGGCGTTTCCACCAGAGCCATGGTTTACCTGTGGCAGCAGTACCTACCAATACACACAGCCTCGCGTTACTAGTGGGCCGCTTCAGTCATGTACTAGTGAGTCGCCTCGCGTTAGTGAGCCGTTTCGAAGCGCGGCTATTGAGTCGCCCCGCGTTACAGTCATGTCCATGGTGACAGAGATCGCGTACGAACCGCTCCCCGAAGGCCTCTTCACTCCGCTCTCCCCGTTATCCGCCAGTTCCGCGGCTTCCGCCGCTCCTGCGCTGTTTTCCCCAGACGGCCTCTCCGCGCGGTTTTTCGACTCCCCCGGCGCGTCTTCGTCTGCCTCCGTCTCCTCCGCGTCCGTTCTTTCCCCCGGCGCTTCGCCATCTTCTTCCCCCGCCGCGCACACATTTTCGTCGCGACACAGGCGGCAGTCGTCCGCGTCGCACGCGACGACACCTCCGCTAATTACGTCGCTGCAAGGCGACGTGCCGCGCTCGCCGCCGGCTCCGTTCCGCCGGCGATCTCACTCGTTCGCGTCGCTCAACACCTTTCAGCTGCAGCGGAAAATTCACGCGTCCCCGTCCCCGCCCATGTCCCCATCTCTCGCGCCGTGTTTCGTGCGCGCGGAAGGGACAGAAACAGGCGGGCAGGGGGCTACGAAAGTGCGCCCGGAGTCAGGCGGTGCATCAGGCGCAGCGACGGCAGCGTCGACTCTAGCAGAAGCCAGGGCGGCTCGTCTGTCCACGTCAGCAGCAGCAGCTACTGCCGCCAACCCAGGAAGAACTAAGATTTTCGCATCGGTGCCACTCAATAAGCCTCCATATCTTTCATCACCCGCGAGTACTGGATATGCGAACTGTGCGATAACCGCCTCCACTTCGCTTCATTCGCACGCCGTCGCTGAAGCCGGCGTGCCAGAGTTCCCTCGCTGGGGATCTACAGTGAATCGTTCTACAGTACACGGAGCTACTGTCGAAACGTCTACACGTCAAGGGGCTACAATAAAGTATTTTACCGTCAACGAGGCTGCAGTACCATATGCCCCCAACAGAAATCCCACCGCCTCAAACTGCGCAGTTTTCCCTGCTTCTCCAAAGTCCCCACAAGGGTTAGTTGGAGCAACTAGGGGCAGCCCGGGATGGGGAGTGGAGCGAACCGGTGGGTATATCATGGGAGGCGCAGGGGAGGCGAATAGGGGGGGAGCGGCACAGGGGTGGGGTGGCACATCGTTGAAGGCAGGGCTGAGTGGTGGGGGATGTGTGAGGGGAGGCGCAGCGACGATGCGTATGCGCGTGCACCAAGGGATGAGTGCCGCGAGGCATGTCCATGGGCACGTGCGATCCGAAACTGCTGGGCAGGTTGATGGTTTGTTGCCAGCGTGTCACGGTAACCAGACTGGCGAAGTCGGGGGCAATTAGCACACTGGCAGGCTGGATCATAGAGTGGCGGCAGCTGTAGTATGAAAAGAAGCGATGGCAGAAGCAGCAGCAGCAGCAGCAGCAGCGGCAGGGGAAGCAAGACGCAGTGCGAGTAGAAGCAGTGCGAGTAGAAGCAGCACGGCCAGGGGTAGCAAGAGCATGAGCCATAAAGACTGGGAGTGGGTTCTTGTGGTCCTGCGATCTTGCAGCACTGGCAATGGCACCACCAGCACCTACAATACGCTCAATGCAAAGACAGTGGATCCTTTTCTGCTCTAAAAATAGAGTGGAGTGGACGCAGGGTAAGTTTCATGCCCTGGCAAAAGCATGCTTGGTGCAGCAGGATGCGACATTCATAAGAGTGTTTGGGAGCTCACAGTTGAAATATATGATCATAGAAAGACAAGCGCATTTGCAGGAAAATATTGCCTGCAAGAGCAGCATCAGCAGCAGCAGCAATAGCAGCGGACCAGAACCTGAATGGGGCATATGCTGGGAAAGTTGCTGCTCATATCAATTTGTCATGTCAAACGCCAGCTCAAGAGCCGTAACTGGTGCTGGGGTTGGTGTGGTACTTTCTGGGTGACCAACAGTTGAAATTAGTTTTGTACACCAATCAGTAGACGCGAAGGATCAATTGGAAGTAGAGTTGAGGACATGCACCAGCCAGCAGTCATGACGACGGTAGGTCTCGTGCGTTGGACCAGAATGTATTCTGGCTCTTAATACTGTGTTATAATTTTGTTAAGTCGATGGGAATCTCAGTGGTCGTGTATGACGGTCTTCTTGTTACGATAGCGAGCTTGCGTGCAAGACATTACTTGGGTGACAGGCAAACAACGCCAGGCTGGCTTGATGCTGAGAATTTGTCGCTTCTGTCCATACGGTGGTTGTTTGACAGACTTACGGCCAACGACACTGTGATTGTTTTTGACGGCTGAGATTACTCGAGAGCTTTTTCAACACAGCTAGGCTCACCAGCTCGACCTTTGAGACTGACCTCACCTCGACGACAACCGTCGATTTGCATCTCCATGCCTGCACAAGAGCCAACAGACCGTACCTGATAAATTCACCTCAGGGCTTCCTTACTTCCGACACTGTACGTACGGAGGACAAGCCTCCCCCTCCCTCCCTTCATCACTTTCACTTTCGACCGTTTTAGGAATTTATTCGACCGCGCTAGATCACAAAGTGAGTCCCTTACCTAACTGATCGCAATTACAGCAATGACGGTTCCCTAGAAATCATCGGCCCGATGAAAGCTACCTGCCTTACGTTATCCACCTGAATACCTGTGTAGGCGTTGTTGTAGGGCGTTCCCAAGTATAGCCGCCATAGAAGTTTCCCCAAGCCAGTGCTGCTGCTTGTTATGTTATTTGCTGCTGTTGCATTATTTCCTCGCAAAATAGAAGATTGGCGTCGACATGGACTTTGGACCTGAAGGGTCGTTAGTGTACCGCAAGTTTCTGTTAGCAAGCCCGGCAAGTGCCACGTCAGCTAGCAGTAATGCCAGTTTAGTCCATCCAGTTTCTCCCTGGCACGACTTACCGCTTCGGTTTGACTCTAACGATGGCACGGTTCCCGCCACGTTATCCGCTGGTGACTGTATCGAGATGGTCTGCACTACGCCTAAAGGCTCGTGGTTACAGTTAGAAGTAGCCGTTTCAGAGCTTTATCAGCCGTTGAGGCTGCGCGAATCGAACGGTGCTCCCGCACACTACCAGGACAATGTACAGTGGAACCTCGGTATTATCCCGCAAACGTGCTCATGCTTTAGCGAGGACGACGAGAATAACGGAAGCGGTCCGGACCCTTCGAAACAACATGGTCCAGTAGAAATAATCGATATAGGATCCGCGCCAGCTGACGTGGGATACGCGTATCGCGTGAAGCCAATGACGGCGTTTCTGGTGATAAGTCCTAATTTAAAGACCACCCTGAAGATAATTGGCATTAATTCTATGGACCCGATCGCTGATAAGTTATCGTGTCTAGACGACTTGCAGAGACACGCTGGTGGGAAGCTTGCGGAGATCAGCGAGTGGCTCAAAACGTCAGCGTGTGTTTCAAGATGTGAGTTGGAATTGCTGGTCGGTTTGCTGGTTCAATCTTATTATTTTTGCTTGTTTTTCGCAACCTCGTCACTATCGCTTGATTATAGCGAGGCAATATCATGGCCCATGATGCGTCATCTTCTGATGTTCACACATTAGATTCTAGACGAAAAAGTTAATGTATTACAGCAGACAAAAAGGCTCTTCTGACGGTACTTTGTTTCTTTCGGGAACGAGACCCAAGATATTGGTTTTTTTAAGGGGGGGTAATGCCATCAAGTCCTATTGCTGGTATCAGCGATTTTTATGAGGAAAAGGGACCTCAGAGAGATATGAGGCGCGCCAGCTCGTGAAGCCATAAAGCCATTAAAGCTCTCAACAATAATCTGAAGGATTGTAATTTTTTGTGTTATTTTTTTCTTTGGTATAATCCGAAAAAAAAAATATCGTTGCTAATATCTTCCTTCCCTCTTCTCCTCGTTTTCCCCCCTCCACCCTCTCCCCACTCCCTCCCCCTTTCCCCCTCTCGCCCACCCCGCCTCTTTTCCTTCGTCCCTCCCTTCCCATCCCGCACATTTCGTCTCCTTTCAGACGACGTACCCAACACGATCGGTTACCGCGAAAAGCCCGTCCCCACGGACCGAACGCTCTCCCTCCTTTCCAAAGCGCATGCCGCCTGGCACACCTACCACAGCGCCCACCACAGCCCCCACTCCGCCTCCGTTGCTTCCTCCGCCTCTGCGCCCAACCGCCCGCCCTCCGCCGTGCACGCGAGGGATCTTCGGAAGCTTGTAGAGAGCACCGCGGGCGGGTCGCTGGACGATCCTTCCGCCACTGGCGCATGCGTGCCGTTCTCCAAGCGGGAAGGCGCAGGGGGAGAGGACGCGGGGGGGGCCGGAGGTGCGGTGACGGGGACGGGGGCGGGGGCGGGGGTGGGGACAGGGGCGGGAACTGAGGCGGGTTCAGCGCACCCTGTGGCGGCGAAAGCAGGTCCGGCGGACGATTTGAGGCGGAAGCTTCTCGCGTCAAGCTCAGCGCGAGGTCCGGCAGGCGGAACACCCAGGGATAGGGTAACCGCACACCGGCGAGCTTCGTCTGTGTCATTTTTCGCCCCCGGCGCGTCGGATTTCGGGACGGGCATGGACAGTCCACCTCACGGGTTTCATTCTGCGACGGGGAGCCCTGGCGGTGGGAGCGGCGGGGGTGGCGGGGGTGGTGGGAGTGGTAAGCCCCCCTCTCTAAGCCCTCGCATGCAGCAGCCTCCTTCGTCGCAGTTCGCAGCGTTTCCCGGCAGCAGCGCGGGGGGGGGGGCTAGCCCGGCGGGGCGTAGGGTTAACAGACACGCGCGAGCGCAGAGCGTCAGTTTCAGCCCACATATGGATTTCAGCAGCAGCGGCAGCGGCGGCGGCGGCGGCGGCATTACCGGTAGCACAGGAGGCAGCACTGCTAACGCTTTTGCCCACGGCTCTCCCCCCCACCCTGGCGGAGCAGGGGTGCAGGGGGGAGTCGCCCCGGCGCCCAGCGCAGGGGGGATCAGGGGAGCGGGGCTGGCGCCGCCGGGACTGGTTAAGGGCGGAATGGGCAGGGGGGGGCGGATGGGGCCTTTGGGCGGAGGGGGGCTTGCTGGGGGAAGGGCGGGTCCGGGGAGGGGGATGGGGCGCGGGGGATTTTTCAGGAGCGCGTCTGTGGACGGAGGAAGGGGGGCGGAGGAGGATGGGGGCACGGATGGTCCGCTGGTGAGGCGGAGGAGTGGCGGAGGGGGGAGAGACCCGCCTGTCGTTGTCAAGCGGGTGGGGATGCCCCCCTCTGGCCCTGCGACAGGCGCAGGCGTAGGCGCAGGCGGAGGCGGAGGCGGAGGAGGCGGGGGGGGTGGCGGAAGCGCAGGTGTTAACGGAAAGGAGACGTCAGGTGTGTTAGTGATTGAAATCGGTAGCAAGGGGGGTGAGGGGAGTGAGGAGGGGAAAGAGGCCACCAGTGCGGATCAGGATTCTACATTTACCTTCCCTCAGCTAGGAGGGGCGATTGGTGATCCAGGTATGGAAGGTGCTGCTAACGGAGGTGGTAATAACGAAGAGGAGGAATACACCGCGGATTTGGACAGTAGTGAGGATGACTGTGACGAGGATGACGGGGATATTGTGGAGTGTAAGGCTGCGCCAGGGGCATCTGCTACAGGTCGAATGCCTCTGAATGTTTCTGTTAACGAGGACGACGATAAGGAGGATGAGGACGACTGTGTGGTTCTGGCCTCGCCTCTCGTTTCAGCCCAGCCGCAGCAGCCGCAGCAGCCACAGCAGCAGCAGATGCAAGGGAATGATGCAGCGACAGGGGCAAATTCTCCTAACGGGCTTGCAGCAGCCGCAGGAGCAGCAGGAAACGGTGGTGCGGAGGCAGGAGCAGCAGCAGCAGCAGCAGGGGCAGGTGGTTACAGGAGGCTCAACTGCGATGTAACATCTGGGCAGAATGGCGGGCAGAGCAACGGGGAGGAGGAGGAGGACGTTGATGGAGATGGGGATGGGGACATTCCGCTGGCCTCCCCTCTCGCCAAATACCCCCCTGCCAGTCCCCTAAAGGCGCATGGCCATCACCAGCCGCTACCCAGCCCATTAAGCCGCGGCCCTCTGGCTTCTACATTCAGTGCCAACCCCCCTCGCCCCGGCAGCCCGCTCACACGCGTTCCCCAGCAGCAGCAACAGCAGAGTGAGAGCAGCGGTGGTGGCGGTTTCACGGATTCCTCTGGAACGGTTGTGAGCCAGAG